TCTTTAGGCTTTTGTATAGCTCTGCTATACAATTTCAGCCCTTACCTGCTTTAGGATACTGAGATTGTCGTCTGTCTCGACCTAAATCCTCACATCTTCCAAGTTATTTGTATGATCTTTTCACACAAATATAAGTCATAATTAATAAAATTATCAGGATGAAACATTCAATAATTCTAATCTCCAAAATTGAAGCCAAACCATAGGATAGCTTGGGAAGTCACCGATGTTCTCCTCTAGATCTATGACATCCCCTAGTTCTTCCTCCTTTCGATTCCAAATAAAATGTTCTAAAATTTGAGCAATTACCCTTTCACACCTCTTTGTCTGATCTCGTTGAAAAATCCTATCATTTGACCTCTTCGAAGATAATATCCCCTGATTTTTATCGAGAGTTTTCTTAGGTGACTTTGGTTATCTATGATGTAATTAACTATAGGGGCTTAACCTTATAGGAAGTTTTTCCGAACCCAACTTAATATAAACCATATTTAATTTTTCGTATTAAATAAATGAATTTGTCAGTCAACATAAAAATGGTTTCGCAGACTTAAACAGATGTCATACAATCTTTAATTTATTTAATCGTGTCTTTACCAGTAAGTAATGTATCTATCTCTCGGGATAGGTGCACTACTTGCGGTATTATCCTCATTTATTTAAACGACCATCTTCAAGTTGAGTAACTTTTTCATCAAATGCACTTTGTTATTCGCCAATGGCTTTCATATATACCTGATAAAGTCATCATAAGATCTGCAGTAGTATTCTCTTTGATTACGTTGTGGGCAATCGATCTCGACAGAGTTAATAGAATAACCCCCATAACCTATCGATCCAATAGATTCCATTCCGCATCGTCCATCTTTTCCGGCTTCTTTCCCAATAACGGAAGATGAAGCTTCTTCTCATAGAGGTTGTCCTCTATCTGTTTCCTCCAACAAGCAAAATATGTGTCATTAAACTTATCGATCCCCAATGTTATCACTTCGTCTCCGTCAATTGTTCTTCCTTAGATTCGAACCATAGTTCTAATACCAGTTGTTGTGAGAAACAACAACAATAAAACAAAAAATCAAATCAAGAAAAAATCGCAATACTAAAAACAACGAAACACACAGATTTACGTGGTTAAACAAATTGCGTACGTCAATGAAGCTGTAGATGATTTTATTAGCCTGAAAAATTACACTTGTCGATCACCTCGACAAATATAAGAAAGATTCTCACTCCTCTCTCCTCTCTCTACCCGAGAGCCACCAACGAGAAAAATTAAAAGAACAAGAAGCGAGCAGCTACCTTCCTTTGAGCTTCACGCCAATAAGCCACACATGATTCCCTTTGAAGCCTTCTTCTTATAGAGCACACAAGAGATCATGTATAGAATCATTTTTGACCCATTAAAGGCAAGCCCATTAGCAAGCCCATTAATGTGAATATCCCTTGCTCTAATCAGCAACGTCTTTAGCCCAAGAAAGGTAAGCTCCTTTATTTCGCCAATCACAGGGAAGCCAGAAGCAGGTGGGAGATCAATTTTGGGAAACATAAATAACAAAAGATGGAATTAAGCTCCTTTCCTTAATTTGTGAAATTAAGAAATGGAATGTATTGAAATATATTTAAATGCTGCTCAAACAGAGCAGTGGACCGGGCTCCACCTTCCTTAACAGTATCTACCTTCTCAACCTGTAGCTACCAACACATCATGTGTAAATTTATTTTAATTTTATTCTCTCTTAAGAGAGCTTAAAAAAATATAATTTAATCGTTGTATTTGATTTATTAAATTTTAATAATATTTCAAGCCAAACGCAAGTTTAATTCGAATAAATAAGTTCGAATTGAGTCAAACACAAACAAGCTTTTAACGAGTTATATCAACCACAAGCCAAATACAAACAAAAAAAAATGAATGAATCGAAAACGAACAAGCCTTCATCTCGCCCATACTAGGTTCGTTTACAACCTAATCACATATGTATCATATAAAACACTACATTTTAATTTTTATGTACTTGTCATTTTATTTATGGATGAAAAAAAATACATTTCATTTTTGAAAGGTAAAAATGGTGATGTTCTAAAATTGATATTGAAAACCTGGATGGTATAAATATAAAAGCTAAAATTTCAGTATTATACATATGTGAATATACAAGGATTGGTTGACATGTATGAAGATGCCCTTCTATTTTTTCACTGAATCATAACAATTATCAATGTAGGTGGCCGCATATGCTTCTTGTTTGCGGAAAAATTATTACTTCAGGACTCAGTGCTGTTTGAGGAGTCCAATCTTGCGCTGACACGTAGAAGGTCGGGCCTGCCTAAGTAAAAAATGAAAAAAATAATGAAAACACGCTACCCGGCCTGAGCGATGCGTTATATAAATATTCCATCGCATAAGAATATTCCCCCGCGTTATTCGGAATATTTTCCGCATTATTCTTGTATTATTGGAGTGTTATTGAGGGTTTAGGAATATTCCTAGCATTATTCTGAATATTTTTTTGTGTTATTCATGTGTTATTGATGTATTATTGAGAGTTTAGGAATATTTCCTTGCGTTATTCATGTGTTATTTAATGTGTTATTCAATCCGTGTTATAGGAATATTCCTTCGCGTTATTCTGAATATTTTCCACGTTATTCATATGTTATTGATGTGTTATTGGTGTGTTATTGAGTGTTTTAGAATATTTCACATTCTAAGAATATTCCCCCGCATTATTCTAAATATTTTCGGAGTTATTCATGTGTTATTTAATGTGTTATTGAAGGTTTAGGAATATTCCCTCGCGTTATTCTGAATATTTTCAACGTTATTTATGTGTTATTGATGTGTTATCATGTGTTCTTCAGAATAACGAGATGAAATATTACTATAATAAAGCGACAATGATAAATAATCCTAAAAATATTTGTTTACTCAGTAACACATCGGTCGGGTCAGGCTGCACGTTTTTATTTTTTTATGTAGGAGAGCCGATTTTTCACGTGTCAGTTTTAAATTGAATTAAATTGAACTCCACAAATAACTCTGTACGCGGAGCCCTAATGTAATAATTTTCGGGTGACAATTCAAGAATTGGGTGGCATGTAGGAAAATGCCTTTTATTTTTTCACTAAATTATAACTACTATCACCATCAATGCAGGTGACCGCATATGCTTCTTGTTTGGGAAAGGAGCCAGCCAAACCCTAACCAAAATATTACAAAAAAAGAAAAAGAGAAAAATATATATATATATATATATATATTACACACATTTTC